GCACTTCCCAAAGCTACCAAAAGCAGAGAAGATCAGCTGCTTCCCTCAGAGATCCACAACTGATATTTGTCTTCCCAAAAACCTCAGTTAACCAGCCCCAGCTATGAGCAGGAGGTGGAAAAAAAGATGCATTTGCCTCTTCCATTATGAAATCCCTGTGGAGCATCAGTTCCTCACACAAAGGAGATTTTAACAAGAATTTTCAGCAACACCTGAAAAACAAAACTGCCCCAGCAATCCCAGTCCAAACCCTCCTTCCATTTGCTGCAGTGCTGATAGCAGAGAAGCCCAACTTCTCCCCTCTGACCCACAACTGAAAATGGAAGCTGATGAAAGCCTGAGAAACTGAGAACTACAACATTTCCTTACTCAATTTGCAGCTTCTCGGAGTTTTATGGTGAGAAGTGAACAAAACCTCATCCCAGCCCAGCCGTCCCAGAGCTCTCGGACCAGCAGCAGCTCCACCAGCTCCCTCTCCATCAAGTGCTTGTTCCCAGCTCAGTAAATCCCTCCACTAACATTCCCCAAAGACAGAAGTCCACTTGGATCACGTTTCCACCATGGGAGAGGCTCAACAGCCTTTAATCTTGTAGCTTTTCAGGTTTTTGTTTTTCATAATTAGCAGTTACTTAGGGGGGAAAAAAACCCACATCACTGGCTTTCATGATTTTTTTCCTCTAGAAAACACAATGGTTTTTTTACATGTACAAGGAAGAAAGAGGTGAATGAAGCATTAATTTACTCCCAGAAACACTGTGGGTTTCAATTTTGTTAAAGAAAGCAAAAGCATTATGAACTAGTTGAAATTAAAGATTCATTTAAATTAAAGATTCAAAATATCTGAACCACCTCTTTGTAACTAATATTTTGTAACTAATATTTTTAGCTCATGTTCCAACAAATCAGCAGTTCACTGATGTATCTCACTAAGGTGACCAAGAGACTTGACAAGTGGAAGTGTTTTTAAGGTAAAAAATAGAAGTTTTACCTCTTTCCACACAGTGGAAAGCCACAAAGCAAACTGCTGAGCAGTCTAGAGAGTCTCTTGGCATTTATTTGATACTGTCAGGTAAGTTAAAGATTTCAGCTGAAAAACTTGTGCAGTTGTGTATCTGGTAGCTCAGAAAACCTCCATCTCCTCAGCACAGCCACTTTTCTAAGATGTACTCCCAATAATACACTTCATTTTTAACACATTAGAGGCATTTTAGGAGTTAGGCAAGCCTTTGCTTTCAGGTGAACTCACGGGGAGTGTCAAGAGTTTCCAGCAGAAAACCAACCTGAGTACACCCATCTTTAGGAATTCCCCTCAAAATCCACAAATTTCACAGTCTTAAATTTCATTCTTAACTAGTCTGGATGCTGTGATTGACCAGACAAATTCATCTTTAGGACAAGAAGACAAAACAAGGTGATCTTGGAGAGCTCAAGGCAAAGGGAGCTCTGGGGAAGGATTGAGCCAGCAGAGATTACAAGCAAGGGTGGCTTTAAGAAGTAAATAATAAATTAAAGCAGATAAACTCCCTTACCCCCACATCAATAATGCATGTTCATTACATGCACAGCAAAATGCTGACAGATTGCATCTCCAGCCTCTGAAGACAGAAACATCATCATGTCTTAATAAAAGACTTGTGCACCTGGGTTCATATTTTACAGAGCTCTATGCAGGTAAATAACTTCATTACCTGGGTAGCAAATGATGGGTGAGGAGAACAGGTAAGAAGTTGTCTGCAGCCCTTATAAAAATCAATATATTTATCATCTGTAGGCCCCCAAAACACCAACTTTGTAGTTTGGATCACGCTTTGGTACAAGGACAAGTTGCAGGGAGAGTCCTACCCCGAGAAACGGCACCTTTCTGCTCTGTCACCTGGAACAAAACTGTGTCAGAGGCAAGAGAGGCTCTCAAATGCCATCTCTGCTGTTAAATGGAAGGAAAGAAAGTCTCCCTCCTGCTCCATCAGCCACCCAACACAGCAGGTAAACACACCTTCCAACGACCCAGGCTGTTAAAAACCAACCAGTTGATACAGAAGGTGTTGTGGGCCGGAGTTTCCGGGTGGGAAAAGCAGAGCTGGAGCATTAGAGACAGCCCTTGGAGTCCTAAAAGCATTTGTTTATTCACTTGGATGCTCTCTGTGTGCTAATGGTCACTGAGCTCTTGCTCTGGGGCATGTGAGTACAGCACGCCTGGCTGGAGGAACTCAGCTGGAGGAACTCAGCGGGTGCACCAGCTTTCCTGGGAAAACCCTTCCACACAAACAGCCACATCACCGGCCACAGGACGGGTGTAAAGGCTACCAGAGTCCAAAAATGAAATTCAAGCTGCCTGATGGGTGATTTAACCAGAGAAAGGGAGCGACTGGAGCAAACTGGATTTCTCTGGTGGGAGCTGCAACCCTTTAGCAGGTGAAATTTGGGAATCCTACTTAATGGGATCAATACCTAAATTTGGGAATCTGCACGTCCTAATAGGGTGCCTGCACTCCTGGCACAATGACCACCTTGTTAATCCTTGTTAGTGTTGTAACTAAACTGCTGGACAGGCCAAGCACCACCAACAGCTCGAGTCCAAAACAGGGCTTGGTGAATAAACCCCTGGACAAAACACTGAAGGTTGTTGCCCTTAAACAAATGAACAGCACAATAAATTATATTAATATGTATTCTATATATTAATATATATTCTATTATATGGATAATCTATACATTAATTTTATATATTAATTAATATATTGATCTATATATTAACAGAATAATATATTCATGTATAATATATTAATGTATATGTTAATGTATAATATATCAATATATGATATATTAATATATAATATATAATATATTAATATAGAATTAATAATAAATATGCTAATTTATATATTCCATATATTAATATTCTTGTATATTATATATTATGTAATATAATTAATTATGTTACAGAGCATCTGTTACAAACATGAATGGCATCAAGAGGCCGATGACAAAGTCTAAAGCAGGGAAAGCAAACAAGCAGTACTTGTTTGATTTATAGGAAACCAGCTTCCTGCCCTGCTGTTTTAGAGCAGGGTTTCACAGGCAAAACTCAGGTTTACCCCACAGTTCTGGCTGTTGAGCCTCTCAAATTAATGCCACAAAATCCTTTAGGGTTCATCACACTTTCTGTGGCCAGTTACCCACAGATTCTGCTTCCTCTGTGCCCTTCCAGCACCTGCTGAGTTGTGAAAGCCCAATGATGATCTCTGCACCCTCCAAGCCCAAAGGGTCAGCACAGTGACCAGCAAATGGGGTTTTTCCATCTGAACTAGAAAGGGAAAAATTCCATTTGAAACCATTGTGTTTGCCATTGCAAAAGGGATTGATTTGGAGCCTGTTGCACATGAAGAAAAGAGGTGCCTTGCTGGCTCTGGAATGCTAATGCCACCTAATCCATCAAACACTTCACCTCTTTTCCAATCACTGCTTCAAAAGCATACCCAGGCAGAAATGTCTGGGAGATGGACGAGCAGAAAGCTGTCAGCAGGGCCAGGAAATATGGGCACAAGAACAAACTAAGTTTTCTTACGCGTTCACACCAAAAGAAGCGTGTCTTGGCCTCTGTCTCAAACACATCCACCATCAATAAATCCAAAATAAATCCTCCAGCTGAAGAGCCATGCTCTGTTGAACTTCAGACCTTCAACTTGGAGATTCTGACACTTGTCTTACGCGTTATCTTTCCCATTTTTTGTGGTGCCACTGAATCACTACTTATATCACCACAGCTACGTGAAAATCAGTAATAGTTCCCAACCAGGAGATGTTTTTCAATGTTGAGTTACTGAGAGGGGTTATCAAATCCTCAGTGGCATGCATTTATTGAGGAAACTTCTTTAAAAATTAATACAATGACAGACTGACCTTGCTAAAGGGACCTTGTGTGAGAAGACTTATCACAAAATCAGAGTGGATATTAAAAGCTCTGTCCGGTAAACACTGAAGCAACACAGCAGTGAGTCAACCCAGTATGTTGGGTGTAGGAATGGTAAGAGTTGAGTTTCTCTTCTCATGGAAGTGCAGCACATCCTTTCAGGGATAAACCCACAGATCAGCTGCATGGGAGCTGCACACAACAAAAGAAAACTTGGCCCACACCAAGCCAGTATAAAGATTTATACAGCACTAATTTCTTGGAGAAACCTTTAAAGTTTCTTGTGTATTTGGGGCCTTCAGGAAAGGTAGATTGTTCCACCCCCCTGTTAAAGGTAGGGTTGATTCCACTGCATGTTGTATGCCCTGACTGCACCTGCAGGGGTTACACCAGGTACAGCTTTATCTTTGTGTGGCCACACAATAACTCCCTGGGCATTAATTTCCCTGTGTTGACAAGGTCTTGGAAGCCTTTGTGAATGATTTGTCCCCTTTTGAGCCAAAAGACCAAGTGACTTTCGGGTCTGGAGAGCTGCCAAGAAGGGAAGCCAGACACCTTGATGTGCAGAGCCACCTACTTGGTTTCTCTGTCTCGTCCTCGCTTCCTCCCAACATCAGCTGCAAAGGATGACAGGGAAGGTCTCAGGGGGAGGAATGAGCACCACCAGCATTAACAAAGGTTTGGCATCATCACTCCTGTGCAGGTAATGCCAGCAGGGAGGTCACCTCCTCTCTTGCTCTCAAGGGTCTCTTCGGGTCACCTTAATGAAGTTAAGTCTTATCACCACCCACTCCTTCAGGACAGTCTCCCTCTCTCAGCAGGGAGTTGTTTTCACTGGCTCTGTGTTATCTGTAGGACCATGAGCAAGGACAGACCCCAGCACTGCTGTTTCTAACACACCTCCTGTCCTCACACAAGGATCAGGCCACTTGGTCTGGCACCAACAAGTCCAACCAACACCACGACGTTCCAGTCAACAAAGTCCGGGGGAAAAAGCACACCAATGCATCCAGGGGAACACAGACCCTACCTGCCTACGTGGACAGGGTCACGTTGGGAGCAGGGAAGGGGAAGTGGCCAAAGAACATACCTGCTCTCACTGCACTCCTTCTTCTCTCTGACACGCAGCCACTTCCGAAGGAGGAAGCGCTTGCGCCGCGGGGAAGCACTGGGTGTGGAGCAGTTGGACCAGGGGGTGTCCTCGTCACTGGAGGGGGTGATCTCAATGGATGGGAGCTGCAGGTATTCCTTGCTGGAGGAAGGAGAATCCTGGTACCTGCCGGCCTCCAGGCTCTGCTCCTGCACGTTCTTCATCCGCCTCATCTTGAAGCGCTTCCTGCGCAGGGTCGGGGTGGACGAGCTGGACCAGGCACAGCCCTCCAGCCCCTGCTGCTCGGGCACTTGCAGGGCTGGGAGCTGCAGGGTTTCTGTCATGTTGGCAGCTGGCATCAGACGCCCTTGCTCTCCTTCTGCTCCCACCCCCAGGCGCTCTCGCTCTGATCTCGGTGTAAACCACACCACAAAGCCACCACTCGCCTTCCTCCTCCTCCTCCTCCTCCTCCCTCGCCCGGTCCAGCACTGCCCGCCCTGCTCAAGCAGGAAACCTCATGTTCTTCACGTGCTCTCATTTAACAGCCGGCGGGGTGGGGAGGGGATGTTCGGGGCACAGACATGCCACAGGGGGAAGCCAGGCTCAAGTTTCTTTTTCCTCCTCTCCTCGTCTCTACAAAACAAAGTCCCTCCCCTGCCTTGGTCTGGCTCAGAGCAGGTTTAGCACCGAGACGAGGGTTTGCCAGCAAAGGGCTTGGCTCGGGTTCAGCTTCCCCCCTTCTTCTGTCCTCTGCCTAATGTTGGCTCGGGAAAGAAAAATCTCCTGGGGCTGCTCTAGGAAAGTCAGCTGAGTCTTCTCAGGAGCGGCCGGAGCTGTGAGGAGGTCAGAGAGAAACAGAGGGAAGGGGGGGGAACAATACTCGATAAAATCAGGAGAAGGAGCAGCAGGAGCAGCCCGTTCTCCTCCTGCAGCGGGTCAGACACACGCAGGCAGCTGTTGCGAGTGTAACCGCGCTCTTAATCCCGAGAGAGACAGGGTTTTTATTACCAAATCTGCTGCTGCTACAAATCACGGGGTAAGGAGGGGTAACAGCCTGTCTGGAGAAGCCAATTGGACAGGGGTTGCTCCTTGTCCCACCTTCCTGCTCAGAAATCCCACCCTGTGCAGGGAGGGAGGGAGCGAACTCGGAATTTCAGCCTCCTTTCACAACTGGCTGGGGTGTTTTTCGTCCTCATTCACTGCTCACAGAGAAGGCAAAGGAGGAGAAGGGTTGAGGAGCAGCTAAAAAAGCACCAGCACTGGGCAGCTGGTTGGGTTTTTAGCTCTGTTTCACACCAGGGAAAGCTGATAAAAAAAAAGAGTTCTCTGGAGGGTAATGATGCTGCTTCCAAAATGACAGTGGGCAATGGGTGTTCTCAGGTCCAGGAACCAACAAAGACACCACACGAAGACAATTACACATGCAGAACAGATGTCACAGCAGGAGGAAGACACAGAGCACATTTCTCAGGCATTAATACACTAAGGAAGCTCTGCCAAGGGTCCAGCACTTGGAACAGCAGCCACAGGACAAGGCAAAATCCTGGTGATGATGAAACCACATCAGGAAAAACAGTGTGACAGATTCTCCATCGGGATCCTCTGAATTTCACTGAATGCTCCTGCACAAAGCTGTGTTTTCAGCTGAGAAAAGGGACATAGAATTTAAAACTCCAAGGCAGTGACTGGAATTCAGCTGTGTGCTGTCAGGGAAAAAAAAAATAATAATAATAAAAATCTCTAAATCAACCTGACACAGCTTTAGTTTTCATTGTTCAACAGCCTGAACCTTTTAAAAATATTAGCTTCAGGTTAGAAAATATTTGTCAGCCCAAATGAAAATAGTTATTCTTGCACGGGCTGCCTCAGTTTTGTTTGAAAATAAACTTCACAAGAGCTCTGAACATCAGAAACTGCCATGAAACGTGTCAGAAAGGGAAGACTGATAACAGCAGGAGGAAGGGGGAAGGAAATATTTCAGTAAAATGACAGGGTGGGTGTTAAATCCTCAATTGCTGTATTTAATTTTTGTGCTGTCCTTTTTGCTCTGCTCATTCTGGAAGTTAAGAGCTTGAGCAACTCTCCAGGTTTGGAGAGCCCTTTGGAGACTATCAAAGTTTTTCTCTGTGTATTAATGAGTTTGATCTCCTGTGGACTCTTTTATCAGCTACACAAGATTCTTAATCACAGAAATAAATATAAATAAAGGTCAAAGTTTGCAAACTTTGGCATGGTTCCCTTGGTCAGGAATTGCACAGGACACTGCAAACCCTCAATCCTCCTGGATATTACCTAATTAATCAACAAGAGACTCATCCTACGTTGCTCTGGGCCGGGGGAGCATTTGGAAATCACTTTTTTATGCAAGAAAAAGGTTGCATAAAACCACAAATCTGTGTCACAAATCTGCTTTTAGTTGCCAGCATGAATTCCTCACCCTCATCCTCACTGAACACTAATTGAATTCACTTAAACCAGGGATCCTTTCCCACCCCTTTCATATATACAACTGAAATAATTCTCTCAAGCACCATTTCTGCACAAATCACTGCTTCCATGAGAACTGTGTGTTGCCAGAGCCTTGTTTAATGACTGCTCCTGTGGTTTAATGATCCATCTAATGATGGATTTATTCCAGCAACAAATGGTTGTCAGTGCTTTATGCTGATCAACAACCTCTCTGCCTTTCTCCTCATCAAACATTCCGGGTTTTCCAGTGTTCTCTGAAGAGGGTTCACAAATTAAACCATGAAGAAAGAAAAATCCTATAGAAAAATAAATAAAAATCCCTTCCCTGAATGAAGCACATGAGCTAATGCCAGCCCAGATTCTCTGGCAGTCCTTTCCAGAAGAGCTTTTCCCACATTTTTAAGGGATAGCAAAATGCCATCCCTGCTGGATGGACACAGAGGAGTAGCAGGCACTGAGATTACACTGTAAGAAAGCAGTTTGATCAGTTAAAAGCTATTCTTTTTAAACACAGGAATCACATCCAGCTTATGCAGAAGGCAAACCAAGTCACTCACCTGCACATCAGGCTACAACAGCTCTGCCAGGTCAGGCAGGGAGATCCCTGCACCTACAGACTTGGGAGAATTCAAGCAGAATTCCCCTTTTCCTACAATTCCCCATCATTTTCCTTCCTGTGCACACAGCTGAAAGTGGCAGCTTCTTCATGAGAGCCCTGCCATGCCCACAACACAGGCCAAAACCCTGATTTTCAAATTCCAAAACACACCTTTTTCCTCTTTTTTTTCTTTTTTTGGTGAAATTTCTGCAGTAACATTATGATTTTTAAATAATTTTTTTTTTAAATAATATATTTATCAGCATTTACTTTCACATTCTAACAGCCTCCTGCAAGACCAGTCATGTTATCTCTGGAACTGGAACTTGCACGAGGTCTTCAGCCACCTTTTGGTCTTTGCACGTTCAGTGAGATGAGTTCTATAACAATTTAACTTGTGGATACATCCGAGCAGCAAGTATTGACTAACAATTCCTATCTGGGGGCCCTACAGCTGTGTCCCTTTAAATCCTGCCCTGTCACCCAGCAGCTGAACAGTCCAGCCCATTTTATTTTGGCTGTGTGACACCAGACACCTGCCTGTGTTGTTTTATGGAACCCAAGGACTGTGTTTCAAGGCAGATGACAAATTTCACAGCCTGCAGTGCAAGAAATACCAGTGACACTGTGTTATAAAGCAAGATGGAAGCTCATGCTCTCCCCAGTTCTTCCCTGCTCGGTGCAATATTTCAATTAAAACTCCACTCAGTGGGAAATCAGCATTTGAATAAATTCCATGAAGTGCTTTCTGGCACAGGAATTGAATATGTCTGTTATTTGGCCAATATTGAATTAAAATAAGGGATGTACATACCTGTACTCACAGGGCAAAGCACAGCCCAGACACCTGAGAAGTGAATTCCAGGTCACCCATCCCAAAAACTAGGAGCAGTGATTCTCAATTCCTCCTGGGATCTCAGCATTGCCATCACCAACCTCGTGGACAGCAATGTGGGACATGTACCCAAACTCTGCTATGGGATATTATTCCACAAAACTTGTGGAAGATATGTTTTATCACATGTCCAATATTTACATATTTATATATTTTACCACATATCCAATATTTATATATATGTATATATTTTATCACGAGTTGTTCCCCATTTTAACAATATTTTGAGAGGTAGAAAAGAGGCTGATTCCAACAGGGCTTTCTGCTTAGAGGTTCATCTATATAGACATTCTATTTATATTTATACATAGAATATATATATAGACATATTTATGTAGATATTTTTAGAAGATACCAGCTATAGATTAATGCCTGTTTTGTGCCTTCCCTTTCAAAAGAAATAATTCTCATGTCAGCAATAACCATTAAAGACTTGAACCCATGAATTATTACGAGGCATCTCAATCCTGGCCTCATACACAGCAGCAGTCCCCAGATGCTTCAGATACCATCCAGAATTCCAGAACTTGTCAAATATGATTCCAACAGCACAGCACATGGTGTATCTTTCCAGCATTAGGTCAGTGCTTTCACAGTTAATTTGTCCAGGCACTGTTCTGTCTCCAAATTCCAGGGGACAGTGGAGCCAGAGACAGCAAACAATACAAATTAAATCAATGTCAGGGCTTGGCAATGATGATCCATCAGAAGACAGCAACAGGGCAAAGGTTCCAGGACCTGCCTCTCAGCTGGAGTTCTCTTAAAATGGAGATCTGAAGTGAATTATTTGGCACTGCCTGTTCACACTGAGCAAGACCTCTCATTGAGCATCAGGAAGAGCAGCTTGGTTTTTCTCCTAAAATTAGTGGAGGGGAGATGAGATCAACTAAATTCCCTCCCAAAACACAGGAGGATCCATCAGACTCGGTTTCCAATAGGAGCCTGGGATTAGGTTTGCAGTATATATGCTGGATATGGAGGAATTCCTTGGAATACAGCACCTACCCCGTGGGTCATGGCTCACAACACACCATTAACCACAGGAGAACAAACCTCTAAGTACAAAAGGTCTCTGAACAATACATTCTTCCCTCTCCAGCCAAAACACCTTCTTCACTGGCTCAGCCCAGCCAGGTTTGCTGTGTGGAACCCAAGAGCAGCCAGGTTGTGGTGTTTGCTTCCATTCAAACCAAAAAGCCTTTAATGTTAAAAAAAAAAAAAAAAAAGAGGAAGGTTTTGTTAAGAGAACACCCTGCAGCCCAGGGATTGAGGCTCTCACAGGGCATTGCTCACTCAAGGAAGATGCAGCCAAAAAACTCTCAGTTTGAGGAGGGGTGGCTTGACCTCAGCAAAATTTCAGTTCCTGCAGCACCTACATCCTGTAAATCAGGATTATCCTGTAAATCAGGATTATGTGGATCTGCTCCCACCTGGGCCTTTGTTTTAGCTCAGAGAGGAAACTCCAACTGCTTCAGCAAGTGCTGTGTTGTCCTTTTAGGATGGCCTGGCTCCAGTTAACATTGCTGTCTAGTAAGAACAGTGATTGCCAGCTGTGAATATTCCTATATTCAGGCAATATTGGATACAGAAAACATGGGACTCTACTCCCTATAAATTATAGTTTTACCTGTAGATCATGATTTTCCACCCCCAGCATAGGTGGAAGTGGAATGTTTTTAAGTGCTTCTTCTTTCTGTCTTATATTTAAGACAACTAAAAACAAGCCTGAAATTGTTGTCATCTTCCTTTTTTCTTTATGGAACAACAAGAGAAAGAACACTTCTTTGCCCTACAAAAATACTGAGGGAATGAATGCTTGCCAAAAAAAGAATCTCAAACCTTATTCTGCAAAAGGCCAAATGGAAACCACCAAAACTATCTCCCAAGAGCCACTGAAAACACAGAGAGACAGAAAAGGTTCTTTCCTATGATTGGTAAAGTCGTTTTACAATAAGCATATAAAAATTGCTCTATAAATACCACTCCTGTCCATCACCTCAGCTATCCAGCAAAGCTGCTGGAGCCTGTTCCTCCAATTTAGGCAAATGCCTGAAGACAACTGTCACTTTTCCTCATGATCTCTCAAAGAGCCTTTTGAAAAATACTCCGTGGCCAACTGAGAAACGTCTCCTCCAGCTGCCTTTGCCATTCATTCCCACTTGTAATTCTGCCCTTGCTGGGATGGAAATGGAGCCAAGTGCAGCTCTCCACCCCCAGCACACAGCCAACATGCACATGCAGACAAATCTCTCTCCATCAGTGTTTATTACGTGCCATAAATGTGTTTGTTTGAGGCATAAAATATGCACAGACTGTAAACTCAGCCCCGTGTTTCTGGTTTGCAGAACAGAGCATGTGTAAGGCAGTGCATGTACAACACCTGCAGCATCTCTCTGGAGATAAATTAATAACCTCTAGCTAGTTAGAGGTGACAGCAAATGAGTTTGGAAGAGCTCTATACACTGAGAACACCAAGCACTGTCCCAGGAATGCCACATTCAGCATGTAAAAATCAGAATGCACTGAACGTGCCCCTCAGGCAGCACTTTGTACCTGAGTGTGCACCTGCAGGTGTGAAACAAGAGAGAAACTCCTCTGCAAAGCACTCAGGAATGCAGCAGATCCTGTATATCTGAAAACCAGTCACAGCTGGTGCCCAAAATCCACAAACTCCACCCTCCTGGTTACACCTCCCCAGCAGCAATTGGTTTCTTCATTTATTCACGTTGCTTCATTTTTGTTTGCTGAGGCTGCTGATGCCTCTGCTGCAGCAGGAAGGGTTACACT